TTTTCTATTTTAACCATTTCCGTCTCCTCTGACAACGTTTTTAATTCGTCAGGGATCGGCTGTAAAAATTGGTCAAAGTTATTTTTTACGTTTTGTGTCTCTGCACTCACATTAGTAACTCCTAATCTATACTTTCCTCCCTGTACCGATATTAGTGCGCTATAAATTTTGACTTTACTTGTTCCGATTTGAGGTACAAAGTAATCGCCATCGGGTTTTCCCGTTACGCAAGTTATTAAATCATCCGAGAGTGGATCGATTTTTAAGATCTTCTCTGGGTAATCTATATTGATCGGTATTATTTTATTTGGCATAATGAGTTCGCATTTATTTAAATTTATTAGTGCCGTAAGTTTTTTATTAAATCTGTTCCTATCATTCCTGCATATTTAGGGTCAAAGTCGTACAGCAAAAAATCATGTTGTAAGTCTTTTCCCATTGGTTTTAAATTTAGTTCTATGGCTCCGTAATGATTAGTTTTATCGTGAGCCGTTTTTATAGTAAATTCTTTATTTATTATTTTTGTTCTTAACCCCGGATTATTTTGTATAATTGACGGCTTAATTAGGCATCTCGTGCTCCCCGTATCTACATAATAATAAATAAAATAAGAATCTGCCTCCCCATTCATTAATTGTTATATATGGCAGATGATCTTTGTCTAAATAATTTATTTTTATGTGTTTTGCTCGTCTGGCCCTTCCTGTTGAAAAAACTCGTCTTCATGTTGGTTTTCATGAATTTCAGTGTTATATACTTCCACACCGTTTGCTACTCTATTGTGTTGATTGTTAAAAGGTCGCCTATTACTTCTGTTACCTACGGTACGCATGCTTACGTCCGTATCTAGAGTTCCTACAGGCTGTCTAGGTTGTGGCGTTGGTGGATACATACGCCTCCATTGATCTGGTGTCGGTCGCGGTAAGTTAGACCAGTGAGGTTGACCTTGATTGCCTATTGGTCTAGATGGTTGATTATGCACAGTCGGTCTAAACAGTTGCGGTTGATTAAATCGATAATAATTTGGTTTTTGATAACTATTTTGATTGATTTGTTTTCTAGTGAAATATTCTGGATGTAGTTCCGTTTCGTGTTTTAGGTGATTAAGTGCTTCATCAAAGTTGTTATGCTGTGTGGACCGTATTAGCCTATCTGTTGCAATATCTAAGTTTTTACACAATTGGTCAATGCAAACGTTTTCTAATATCGCTGTCGCCTGTGGCGTTTCAGCTTTATTTTTAGCTGCGTATAGCAATTCATGTAATCGATTTGCGAATGTCAACGCGTTTTCATTCGGGAAACGTTTGATGCGCGTGATCTCTGCAATTATTTGTTCGATCGTGCGGTTATCTCCGAATTTCATTCTTAGGGCTTGGACTATTTCTTCTACTGTATTACTAGGCATGTGAGCTACTGCCTTGATAGCTTCACCGCGTAATTTGCTTTTTAAAATTATAGGGAACAGTGCCCTGGCGTCCGCATCGGCCGCCCTAGCTAACATTGTAACTTGTTCTAAGAAGAAATTGAGGGTGTCTTTATCTCCCTCATATTTTGGCAAATATTTCTCAATTGTTGCGTGATTGAGAGCCATGTTGTATATGACAAATATCAAAAGAAAAAGAGAAAGAAAGATGAGAGTAACGCATATAAAAGGGGTTTAGGAATAGAAGGGTTACTCACAGGGTAGCCAGTATGAATGCCGTCTTCATGAGTGTGGGTTTTCTTCAGCCTCTTCAAGTTGAAACTTTCCAGGAATCGGTGCAATTTCGAGCTCGCGATGCCTGGGAGACTGCTGCAGCGCTGTCACCAGTTATATTTCTTGGGCGTGGTTGCCAAGTGGTTATCTTCGAGGAGTAGCGGGGTCTTCTTTATTTGAGTAAAGTACGAAGTGCAATGAGTTCGAGGAATATTACGTTTATTGGTTACTTCACAATTATGATCTGCTTTTACAATTATACGTATAGGTGATTTTACAACAAAGCCGTAACGCAAGCGATTTGGAGCTTGTGTTCGGAGTTTGGTACGGATACGTAGACTTGTGAGATTTGATGCGAACTGTGGTTAAATGTGAACTGAACTGTCGTTTGTCGCGGCGTGTTGCCTTTTTATATCGGCAAGCGCGAAGGGTGCGTAGCGTCTCTGGTTCGTGTCACTTCCTGTCGCCAAAGCTTTTAAGATAATTGTGTCTTTCGCATAGCGATGTGCGTTTATCTGTTGCGTCTGGCAAATGTCTGTTATTTCCTTTGATAGGCCTGGTTTGTATTGTAAAGAATGGTATCTTCGTCTGGCGTCGTAGTGTACTTAAGTTTTTTCCTGTGTCGTTATCTATGGAATCTGGCCATGTTGGTGGTCGTTCCTTAACTCTAGTTTAAAATCAACGTCAACTGGTAAACTAGACTTAGTTGTATGAACTTGAGCACAACTCTCCATATTCTTGATTTCCAAGCACCTTCATTCTCTTTAAGATATTCTTGATTATGAAGCACCTTTATTCTACCTGACATTGGCAATTTTCTGCATATTCTTATCCATGGTGTTATCTTTTACTGTTTCAGTTTATACAACAGAAATATCGTGAGATTTAGCAGAAGTAATAGTAACGTTCAATGTTTCTTTTATGTCAATCAATTTAGCTCCATTGATGGAACTATTCCCATCTAAAGATACAACAACATTTGATTTACTCAGATTTTCTTGAGATTGAAAGGACCGCCCTGAGAATAAGTTTTAGTAAACGTAGATTTACAATCCACAAATTCACCATCTGACTCATTCGCAAAAGTATCATTTGTTAACAGGCAGATTTTGGGGCTGAACTTCAAAGATCTTATTGATGCAATCGTTGTATGATATATCCATGCACTCAACTGTGTTATCAAAATTCTCATTAACGGTTTTTGTATTTATAGCTTTTGATTCGAATGATTTCCCCACTTTGAGTGTGTGTGCATTACTTTGAAATAATAATTTATGAATTGGTATTTTTTCCTTACTAAATATGATTTTGGTTTCATCTTTCCATTGCAATTTTTTTTTAAATCTTCATTAAAAACTAGACTGTTTCTATTTGGACTGTTTCTCTTTGTTAAAGCATCTTTAGCTTTTTTGACAGCCTGGGGCTTCTCAACTGCATATTTTGGTGATAAGACAATAGGTGGACTGAGAGTTTCAGTTTAAACTGGCTCAATTTCATCCTCGACGGGAGGCATAGAACTCTGGGATGGTCTAAACATATTTATCACACTTTTTAGACCCCTCATGATGGTAGAATCATGGCATGACGGTAGCTGTTGCTTCTGGTATATGCACAATTGCAGATAAAGAAGTTGGTAGAGTAAAATTTTGACCCAAGATGGGTTCAATAGTTTCAGCCTTGTGTCTAAAACATCGCACACCGATGGTTTTTGAAAGGTTTTTGCCACCTAAGGGTCAATAAGTTTGTTTTATAGTTCCTAACAGAAGTTGAGGGGGCGCATGTAAATATATAATGTGATATTATTGAAAAAGCATTTGCGTAAAGTGATGTTTGCTGAATAACAAAATTGGGTTTTTGTTATATAATAATATTAAATGACGGGACGAACAAGTTGTGCGCCTTATGGTAAGCTACGTACATGCCTTTTTTTTCTTTTTTGACGGTGGGGATATCTTTATGGATACCCCTGAGCCTAGGGAGACTCAGGTGTTATGTGTGGACTCTCCCTCCAGAAGCTACGTACATGCCTGTCCGTAACAGTTGCAGTACCACTCAGAGCTTTAAATCACAAAGATCTGAGTAGCACTGCCACTGCGCCAGTCGCCCTGAGACATAAGTTGACAAGTCCCATGTGCAATTTCACCAACACCCTTACCCTTCAAAGCCAGAACACAGTAAAGCTAACATTAATGCTTGGCATTAGAAATAGGTAAGTAGTACTGCCCCGGATTAACTCTTTCACAAGGTGCTCTACTGTTACTAAGGTGCTTTGTTTCGTACGGGGAATGTCTAGTCTCCTACCAACCCTAATTATGTTATCAGAATCCATTTTTGGACTTAAAGCAATCAATCGGTTTTTGTTAGGCAGTACCTTCTCTGTTCTAAGAATAGCATATTCATCAGGGAACATTTCCGTCTGAGATTTATGTATGATTAATTTTAAGGAATTTTGAAGCCCTTAGACTAAAAGATGTCCAGTTAATTGATTTGTTGGATGTTGGCAGTTGTAAATAATCTATAAATAATCTTTGTAAATATGCTATCGTGTTTTGTAAGTTTGTTAATTTAGATTTATTTTTGATTAAGTTATTTATTAAGTCAGCATTAACGTTATTATCAAGTGCGAAATTCGGCTACAAGGACCAATGTTAGGGTCCTAATGGGAAGTGAAATAGAAGTGGACTTTATTACAATAGAATAGGTATATTCGCCGTCTCAATTACGTGGATTGGTTTATAACTAAATGAATGTATAGGGGTCTGCGGTCGTCGGTAGCTGTCGATAAGACGAGTGCGCTGCGCTGCTGCGGCTCGTCATGACGTCAGGCTAGGCCGTCTCGTCCTCACACGCGTCTCGAACATCAACAATTACATTGGGCACTTTGTTTGTGCACGTATTTTTGGTTTTGACCGTTCAGATCAGTTTTGTCTGTCTATATCTAAGACAAAGTAATAAATGTAAATAAATAAATGAATATAATAACGCACACACTCAACATAGCTCGGCACTAGGGAAACCCTGTATCGCGGGTGCCATGAGCACACACATAGACAACCATGAATTACACCCAAATTCACGAGAGAAGCACATGTAGGCCATACGAATATTTCTCTCGGCCTGGGAATCGAACCTGGTACCGAACGTGTTAGGCCGGCATGGTAACCGTTCGGCCACGGAGGCAGTTAAATATAATGAAATAAAATTAATAGATAAGTATATTTGGGTTTTGATATTACTTTTGTACTTACAAATTAAGAAAAGGAGTCTAGTAGTAATATTGGTTTTAGTTGGACGATTTACGGGTAGAGAAAAGCGAGTTGGCCGAAGATCTGGAAGGGTGTCTGGCGAAGTGTGATTTGAATATGAAGAAGAGAATAGATACCCTAAAACGAAAGACCGAAGAATTGAGTAAATTGAAAGAGAAAGTTTTGGAATGTAAATGTATAGTACCAGTCGATGCTCCCGTCCAAGTGAAGAGAACGCCTTCCTTTGCTGCACTTTGCCAGTGCCGGCCTGAAGAAAACTTTCTTGTTAGTCAATTTACACTTTCTTACTTAGCATATAGCTTCTGTGTAAAATTACTTTGAATTTCATCATCATCATCATCATATTCCGCCCACATCAACCCACTGCTGGGTCCTACACCATCCGCATCCAGCGCGATCACGCAAATCTGACCATATCATCAGGCCATCGGGCCGGTGGTCTTCGAACGTAGTATTGATTAATTTATCCGAATGAAAAAGTTTGTGAACAGTGTTGTATTTACTAGTAGTTGCTTTTCAGGATTCCTGCTCGTGTACTTCACTTCGAACTACTTTATTATTGAACATGCTAGCCGATTTGTTCGGAGGGCTACAGTCAGAGCTCGAATTCACCGGCAGCACTATGCCCTGTCAACTACTCAAATGCCTCGAAGACGGTCACAATTGGGACAGCAGCAGTATTGTTAAGACGAACCTGAGAAACTTTTTCTCGAAGCTGCTTATTGCCGAACTGGATATTGCGATTGCGACGGCCATCGAGAACTATCATGCTAGAGTAACTAACAATTTAATCTCTACATCTCGGTTAATAACATCACAACATATTAAAATTTCCTATTCTTCTGTACTATTTTTATCGTATTGATAAAAATTTTCCGTACAGTTTTAATTCCATTTTACTGTTTCTTAATGATAAGTCTCATGAATTTATCCGCAGTGGGTAGGAGCTTCGTGTGCAGATGTCGTCGCCAGATCGATTCCTGATCTCGGTGATGAGAGCTACAATTGGCAGCAAAAGGCCATAGAGCGTAGAGCGCTGACACTTGCCAATGAGATGGCCGAACAAATGGTCCAAAGTAGAGCTGAAGAACTTTTACGTCATACTAAAGAAGTTCTCAAAACATCAGAACCGCCGCCATGCGAGTGCAAGCCGCCACCAAATTCTGGTAACAATATTTGCATAAAAATAGAAGTAAATTAATTTGCTACCTACTCGGCGAACCCAGTGAAGGTTAAATCGAGCAAAGTAGCTTGTATTATATAATTTTCACAGCCTCCCTCCGAATTAAAATTAATATGGGAAATAAATAACATAACTGCAACCACAGTTACAAACACCACCACCAAATAATAGGGGTTAAAGTATGAAATTGCCGATTTGTACTGAAA